CTCTACTCTAACTCTAAACGAAATGAAAAACTTATATACCTAAATTTTGTTATCATTCATAGTAGAGACTATAATGAACGAGCTCTGTGGGTACAGTGTGCAACAAAATCGAATAACCATCATGATGATGAGAGTCAAGATGAATGAATAGCAATAAACGACAAGAAATTTCGTTAAAATGACATAAATGAAAAAGTCGTCAATAGGCGGCGTCGCATGTCGATGGCTATCGCAATAAAGATGTTTACAAAAAAGGTTGAACGAGATTTTTAAGAAAAGTAAGGTTACAGTTAAATTACAAAAAATCTTAACATTTAATTCAATTGAAATAAGGCAAACTTTTTTACAAAATTTGTTCTATAAACCTTTGATAAAATGTTATGAATAAGGCAGTTAGTCTATAGAAGAATTTTAAAGAGCGGATTTGTAAATTTAGTCTTTCTTACCGTTAGTTCCCTTACTGTTACACACTGTTATATTATAACAAATTGAAATTTGCACATTTCATTTATCTTGTTGCGTAGTTTTTCTAAATCCAATTCCAAAAAAAAAAAAATATTTTAATGAAATCATTAAAAACTACTTTGTGTTCGGAGAGAATCCATTTGGGTATAAAAATAAATTAATTTACCCGTTGGTTTTTTTGATTAAACAAAAATCAAAATTTGAGTTTTTTTTTTAAATATTCAATTTAAATTTAAAATAATTTGTTAAAATTTTATATTTATTTGTGTAATATATTATTGTGTTGTCAGCAAAAACACAACAAAATTTAAAGCAATTTTAAAAGAGGGGAAAAAACGTATAAAAATAAATACAACAATGACCAGTACAAATATAAATAAAATTGTGCAATCCAATATCAATCTAAAGGTAGAGCATATAATAACACAAACATTTTCAATTTAAAAACAAAAACAATTTTTGGTAATTTTAGCCCTGGATGCTGTCCAAGAAGACCAATCAAATTGTCAACACTTGTATACAGAAGATCTATAAACAAATGCCGGCTAGTTTCAATAAAAGTAATATTAATATAAAGGAAATTTATAAAGAATATAATTAACAACTGTGCTTTTAATTTAAGGTACCAAAATTGCCAAAGTTTCTACGCCCAGAACGGAGAATAAAGGACCCTTACGTACCTATAAAAGCCAAGAACGTAACACCACTTTAAATACCATAACACCTACTAATGGTTTTGTGAAAAGATCCACCACTAAGCTGAAACAGCAAAACAATAGTTTAGTGCAGACTTTGAAGAACAGCAATAAAAACAATCAACAAATGGCCAGTAAATTTGCAGGAGCTAACTTAATGACCAACAAACGTCTGTTGAAAAGTCCCAATTATAAAATCTATAAATCGAGACGTTTTGGTTCTAGTGCCAGTAGTTCACGTTCTAGCCTCTTTCGGCGTTATGATGAAAGAAGACGGCAAAGACAAAATTTCCCAACGCCCATCAATTATCTAATTAGATCTTTCCATACCAGCCAGTTGGAGCCCACCTATGCACGCTATTTAATGCCCGTACGTAATCAACAGTTGGAAGCTAATTTGGGTTCCATACCAGATGCCATTAAGATCAGTACAAACATACAAAACGATCTCATGCATATTGATGCGGCCATGAGATGTAAGGTAGCAAAGAAAAGTAATTTAAAACAAGTGGAACGTAATCGTTTTGATGTTTGGAATCATCCGCCTTCGTTAAGCAGATTTAGAATTAATAGTCCCAAAGATTCACCTATAAAAAATGTTAGTTCCTCGTTAGAGCGTAATATGAAAAGAACTAGACTTACTCCGGAACATAGAGAATATGCACGCGTTAATGTTCAACGCATGGCTCAAATGAAACATCCTAAGCCACCAAATGAGTTGTTTACGGCCCAACATGATCGCAAGAAAACGGAATTACATGAAAAACATCGACGTAATCGTATGAAGAAATTGGGTTTGATTGAGTCACCTTCGGCACCAGAAACGGAAAACGATGAATGCTTTGGTGATAGTACAAGAGTATTTCTTAGACCAATTGATCCAAAACTCAGTGAATTAAGTGAAAGTAGTCATAAAGCTAAACGGGGATTAAAACATGTTTCCAAATCTTCTCCCACTTTAAGTAATCAAGGAGAAACTACTACTAGCGAAAAACTTCAATCTAATATCCACCAAAGTTATGAAAATAGAATAAACACCAAAAAGGAAAATACCAAAACTCTAGAGCCCATTTCGAAGACCATAAAACCTAGTACAATCCCTATTAATAAGTTACCCAGTCTGAATTTAAGTGCTCCTAACTCAAATGCCCTACCCACGATTTCTCCCATTGCAGCTGTAAGAGCTCAAGTGCAGAATAAAAATAGCTATCCTTCATATCGTTATAATCGTGCCGATTTCTTTAGTACGAAAAAATATTGATATTTTAACTTGGTCTATGTGATTTTTCCAATCTCATTTCTTATGTAAAGATTTATAATGTTTTTTATCCTTGTGATGTTTTTGAATGATTTAGGCTTAAATGTTAAAAATCTTTTAAATTTGTAAAAACGTGAAGGAGTTTTTTTTAATAAATTATTAAAAAACATAAATTGGTCATTTGATGGAAATATGCTCACTCTTAATAGATATTCCAGATATGAAATATCACATCAATAGTGGTAGCTGTATGCAGTCATATTAAATCCCTAGAAGACAATACAAGGATTTTCCATAGTTTCCCTAAGTTATTTAAATACTTATATGAGGATCGGTGCAATCTGAACCGAAACTGCTGAAACAGTTATAAAACTCTTCTTTCTGTTCTAGTAAGCAAAAACCGAATTTTCGTAAAAATCTTTAAAGATTTATTGAAAATATAAATGATCACACACGATCATGGAAAAGGGAAGAAGTTGAGAAACCAATACTTCAAATAAAAGCCTGCCTCATAAATCTGTTCACAGCTCATGATCATAATTCTACAAAATTGCTTAGATATGTGAAGGAATCACAGGTCTCAAATCAAAATTTCTTTCAAGATTTATTGAAAACAGAAATGATCGCACACGATTATAAAATATGCAATACTCCAAACAAAACCGGTTCATAATTCTGCTCACCAATTACGATCATAATTACTAGATTCCAACATGTATTTTCCTTATATTATAGCTTAAAATATAAATTTCGTTAATCCACTCAATATTTGGATTCGAACAAAATACCATAAATTAAGAATAGAAAATCTTAAATTAAGATGGTACGGTACTCAAAGAAATTCTCAATATGATGTCGCATACAATCTATATCTTACATGATAATGATCAATCTTACGTGGTCGAAAATTATCACAAACGATCGTTGAAAAGTTAACTTGAACATAACCAATATCAAGAATCTTTTCATTACTTTTTCGATTCAAGATTTGGATGATATAAATGAGAAATTTCTCTATCTATTCATGATTAATTGATTTATTGAGAACAAAAACGATCACAAATGATCATTTAATATAGAAAATCCTGCTTCTCTTTAGCATATTAGTTACTATGTCCCTTTTAAAGAATTATGTTTCCGGACTTGGAACTTATACAATCGTTTGCGATTTAAGGATTTATTTAATGCGTTTTAATAATTTACTGAAAACAAAAATTTTCACAAATGATCAAAACACATCGTTGAAAATATTCAGCGGAATCATTCCTTATTTTTATTAGAATTTTCTGATTTAAATGAACAATATGAACTTATGTATATACATATATGAATTTTCCCGATAAAACTTTTTAAGTCCCCCGGGCCATGTTTCCATGATGATAGATCCCATCATGGTGTATTGCAATCCCAGTACCTCTAGTCTGCCGGGACTATAAACTGGTTATATCACTTCACTCCTCGGCTAGTCCTTGGTATGATTTGATATGGTGGCCAGTTGCCTGCAGGACTATGTACTGGCTGGTCAGTTGGTTGAGGTTCCTTCATGATCCACTTAGTGGCTGTGGTTTAAACCCTAATTCGCGGGGAGAGTAAGTGGCGGTTAAAGGACTGATGTAAGGTAAAGTCAATATTTCGGGATAAGTTCGGTGCTGTTGCCGAGACAACGGATACCCCACAGAGGAGTGACTGTGAGACTATGTGAGAATGAGTTGGTGTTAATTGTATATGGTACGGGATGAATGTGGGGTGTGCGGGCCTCACCCACCCGTTTACCTAGAATAAGTGAGTCGTATGTTTTTCTCTTATGAATGTGTCGGATGAATGAGAAGTGTGCTGGGTTGAATGATGATGGATGAAAGGTATCATATACATATGATACCATTGAATTTTCCTTCCTTGTCCAGATATGTTCAGAGTAAACTCTGTTCATATTAGAATTACCACAGTGTGTCACTGTGAGTAGGAACAAAGTTTCGGCTTATTTGATGGATTAGTACTTCGGTCTACCGGTTACGTCTCTAGGTGCTGTTGCGAATCAACAGAGGCCATCCCATCTGCGGGGTTGTAAACGGAAGAGATGTTTTACATATTAAGCTACGGGGCAGCAATGGTCGGAGATTAGATAGCTTACGTACTCCAACAAAGTGCTTGTACATGAACCGGCTTAGCCATGTACAAGAATTGCTACCTGATTTCCTGGTTAAAAAAGACCACCGTGAGATAGGCCAACACGGCAGGTACTAATGTCGCAGTTTTAACAATTTATTTAAAAAAAGATTATTTCTAGATTTGGATGTTGAATTTCGGATTCCTCAATTTCATGATTTATTGAAGTAAAAACGATCACATATCATTTGAAAATAAAAGAAGCTAAACTTCAGCATATTTCCTTAAATTTATCACTGATTTTTTGTATAGCTCTCCTTGTACAATAACAAATTAAAGAAGAATGAGTTATAACACATACTATAGATTAATCCTCCAGATATTTGTAAACATTTTTATATTATGTCGGGATATAATTATGTTCCACAAATTACACACTTGCACTAACATTAAATACAACTCGTCTCCATTTGAAATAAAAACGAATTTTATAAAAAAGTAACATCAAAAGTTGAAAATTTACAATCAATTTGTGAGAAAATTTATTTTGTTTTATGGAAATTAATACATTTGTAAACCCCAAAATGACCAGCAGTAATTTGAATAAAATTATACGAACCAATCTCAATCTAAATGTAAGTAAAACTTTAAGTCCTAAAAAACACTATTATAAAAATATAATTTTCCCTGTAACAGTCCAAAATCTTATCGAAAAATACCAACGAAATTGTTAATACCTGCATAGGAAAATTATACAAACAAATACCAATGACATTTAAGAATGGCTTGCAGCAGTCAAAATTGGCGAACGAAATCAAATCGGAAAACTATGGACCAGTAGAAAGGTATAAAATGCAAGAGCGTAAAAGGCAACAAACAACAGGAATTAAACCTCTGAAGGGCAAGAGTAATGTTTATGACACACAAATGCTGTGTAATTTAATGAATATGAGCAAAAAACCAGCACCACTTACACCTAGAAAATTACTCAAAACGGCTTCTTATAAAATCTTTAACTCCAAACGTTATTGTTCTAGTGTTAGTAGCTCGAGTGGTAGTATATTGTACCGCAAGGAGGATAAGCAACGTTCAATGCGTAACTATCATACTCCCGCTAAGAACAATGTGGACAAAGTCCTTCCTAAGAGGTCGGGTATAACACAACATAATCCAGCTGCTTTAATCATGCCTACCCGCAATCAACATATAAGTTCTAATTTAGATTCTATGCAACGGGCCATGAAAGTTAGTAGTCAGATACAAAAAGATCTAATGGCTATAGATAAATTATTAAAAAATCGTCTAAAAGTGGCAGGCAAAATTGCGGACACAAAAACAGCGATTGTACCAGCAATAAATGCAAAAGAACAGCAGCATACAAAACAAATACTTAATAAACCCCAGATCCACAAGCAAATCAAAGATATCTCCAATACTTTGGAGAAAAAGAAAACAATTATGCCTTTAACTGAAACCATTAAGCCTTTAAAAAGACAAAAACTTTGGCATAAAACCACCATTTTAGAGAGCAAAAATATTCCTGGTTTTACAGATTCCAATGAAGAAAATAAACAGAAAATACCTGTCAACACACATTTTATACGTTTCCCTGAAAAACAAGACAAGCTAAGTGAGCATTTAGCAAATACTAATAATATATTAAAGAAATCTGCTCTTCATGCACCGAATATTAAGGAATCACGTAAACCTTTGAAATCTAAAGGAAATATTGTTCCCTCAGCCACCTATTGGTTGCTTAAGCCAAATCATTTTACACCAATGGAGTACATCAATTGAGGAGAGTAAAACTTAAATATGACTTTGAAAATTATATAAACCTTTTTATATAAATTTTGAAATCATTTAAGTTTTATAGAACCAACTAAATTACTAGTACAAGGTAAATTCCTTATTACTAAAATAATAAAGAATTTTCCTTGTATTATAATTAGTGATTAGTTCTCAGACTTAATGAAAATGCATTCCTTTTTGTTCTCATGTATATTTAATAAATGTACATATTCATTAAAAGAACTCGTTGATTTTCTTTGAAAAAAAAAACACCTCATTCTATATTCCATTAAGACTGATTATCCTTTTCACTCCTACTTTAACACTTAACAAGCAAATGCTTTAAACTTTAAACACAAAACTCTTGTCATATTATGATTTATTTGGAAAATTCTTGTTGTTGTTCTTTCCTTACAAGCCCTACAAATTAACTGATTAGAAATGTTAAAAATTCAAATTCAAAGTTGCCGACTCATATTGTTTTATACGAAATTTTAAATCATAGAAAAAAAGAAGAAAATAGAAAAACTAAAAGAAACCCGTAAAAAATTACAAGAATATTCAATAGTGTTTGACGACTGTTGGTGGTAATGGCCAATAAACTTTTACATACTTACGCATATACATACATATGTATGTGTAGGACACACGCATACTATTTTCTGGTAAACCTAATCTCTGACACATAGATTAGGCAAACTCAGCAGCAGCAACGACATCATGGATGGCATCAATAGTAACCAGAACAAAAAAAGGAGTGTTTGAATCTTAATATTGAATCTAGGCTGCTTTTTGGTTGTCTTGCATGCCAAACAATAGGAGGTTAGGGAGAAAAGTAGTTTTAATATACATCGGTTAAAATTCAGACTTCTATAGAAAAAACTTGTTCAGATTATAACAACTTTTCTATAGTAAAAGTTAATCAGATTCTGACAACTTTTCTATAGTAAAAGTTTTCCAGATTCTGAAAACTTTTCTGTAAAAAAGGTGTTCAGACTGTGACGTTTCTATAGAAAAGTTGATTATAACATATTTTCTACAGAAAAAGTTGTTCAGATCATTACAATATTTCTATAGAAAAGGTTTGTCAGATTGTGACAACTTTCTATATAAAAAGTTGTTCTGATTATAACAATTTCTACAGAAAAAGTTGGTCAGATTATAGAACAAGTTGTTCACATCATGACGTTTCTATAGAAAAGTTGTTCAGATTATAACATCTTTTCTACAGAAAAAGTTGTCCAGATCATGACAATATATCTTTAGAAAAAGTTGTTCAGATTATGACAAGAAAAAACTACTCCTGTTATAACATCTTTTATACAGGAAAAGTTGTTCAGATTACGAGAATATTTCTATAGAAAAGGTTCTTCAGATTTTGACAACTTTCTATATAAAAAGTTGTTCAGATTATGACAATATTTCTATAGAACAAGTTGTTTATATTATGAAGTTTCTATAGAACAAGTTGTTCAGATTATGTCAATATTTCTATAGAACAAGTTGTTCTGATAAAGGCAATTTTTCTATAGAAAAAGTTATTCAGATTTCTTAAACTTGTCTATACAAAATTTAATCGAAATCCGACTGCTTGAAAAAAAGAGGAAGAATTGCAGAGAATCCGATATCTTTGCTATAGGAAAAGTTCTGACAGTCGCAACGAAGAAGTTTTTCAGATTATGAACTTTTCTATAGAAAAAATAATTCAGATTGTGGAAACTTTGTGAAAACTTTGAAAAAAATTATTTTCTATAGAACAGATTCTGACAACAATTCTATAGAAAAATTTATCAGATTGTGACAACTTTTCTTTCAAAATTTCTTCAGGTTCTGACAACTTTTCTATATAAAAAGTTATTTATATTTTGACAACTTTTCTATAGAAAATATTGTTTATAAAGTGACAAGATTGTTGTTTAAATATTTATTCAGATTCCAAAAATGTTTCTGTAGAAAAAGTTGTTCAGGTATTTCTCAACTTTCCTTTAGAAAAAGTTTACCAAATTGCGAAAACTTTTCTTAATTATCCAAATACTATCTTTATCAAAATCGACAGTCATTAAATTTTCCCCTTTTTGTAAAAATTCATAAAATTTTCCAACATTAAATTACTACCCACAATCATCGCCTCTTCACTGGCATATGGCCAATTTTATATCTATTTTTGTAATGACAATAAATCACACATTTCGAAAGCTGGACACTTTTATTTCACTTTAACGACAGCCTACGCATTTTATGGCCTAAAACAAAAGTGTCGAGTATAAGATTAGCAAAAAAACCAAAATAAAAAAAGGACAAGAATTCTAAATGAAAATAGAAGTTGAAGAAACCAGCAACTAGAAAAAAATAAAACAGAAAAAAAAAACAAAAAGCTACTAACCTAATTCGGTGATGTGCATAATTTATCATGTGGCATTATTGGTAACATTGGTAACAAAACAAATAAACGTTGTAAAAATTTTTTTTAAGACAAAAGCACAACGACAAGAAGTAACAGAAAAAAAAGCAGAAAAGGATCACAACAAGCCTATGAAACCTTTACATGTTATAAAGCTAACAAACAACTCTATGATGAGACTTAATAGAAAATAGTTAATGATGATAGAGAAAAGACACAAAATGAAATTGAGGAAAGAAAGAAAATCCATAGAAAATATTGTGTGTGTGTAACTTTACACGCACTTACACATTCATAACACTTAAACTTACACGTTATCCTTTAAGAAATGTAGCCTTATTGGTAACATATAAATATACATATGTATGTATGTATGTATGTATGTATGTATGTATGTATTTTTCAAGCATATATCAATATGTGTTATAGAGTTATGTACATAAGCGTAATAGAAACAAAAGATGTGATATGTTAAATTTAAGTATTTTTTCTATGTCAATGATAAATGATGATAAAACCAGATTTGTCATGTTGAAAAGTCATACAAATAAGCAGATACAAATTATATTAGGGTAGCCTCAAGTTTACCAAAAAACCCATTAAGTTAAGGTTTTTGGTAAATATTTAAAATCCTGTTAGCTAATGGAAATTGTGAACCCAACTTTTACATAATAAAACAATGAATATTGAATACAATATGAAGACAAAAAAATAGTCCTACTAATAAATAAACAAAAGGATGTTTAATAGCATTTTGTAATGTACTACACGTGTTTTTTTTTTTTTTTTGGTGAGCTATAAATTTATTAATAATTTAAATGTATATAAAAATGTTGTTAAATAAAACAACAGTAAAAATTAAAAAAAAAAAATATTATTGAAAAAGTTTCATTGGGAAAAGTTAATAACATTTTGACAAATTTTCTATAAGAAAGTTTATCAAATTTTAATAACTTTTCTATAGAAAAATTTGTTTAGATTTTGCAAAGGTTTCCAGAGATCAGTTTAGTCCACCTTTCCATAGAAAAAGAACAATATTTCTATATAAAAAGTAGTTGAAATTATGAAATCTTTTCTATAGAAAATGTGGAGAGTTTTTCTATTGAAAAAGTTTATGAGAATGTCACAAATTTTCTAAAGGAAAAGATGACAACATTTTATAGAAAAGGTGAATCATATTGTGACAACTTTTTATGGAAAAAGTGAATCATATTATGTCAACTTTTCTATAGAAAAAGTTTATTCAATTCACACAATTTTTATATAGAAAAAAACTTATCAAATTTTGAAAAAATTTCTATGGGAAACATTGTTTAGATTTTAACAAGTTTCCATAGAAAGATTTGTTCAGATTAGTACAACTTTTCCACAGAAAAGGTTTTAAAATAGCAACAATATTTCCCTAAAAAAAGTAGTTGTGATTGTGATAACTTTTCTATAGAAAAAGTTGATCATATTGTGACAGCTTTTACATAAAAAGGAATGTTGAGATACTGACAATATTTCCAATGTTGACGCTTTTTTAAGGAAAAAGTTAATCCAAATTTCTATAGAAAAAAATGTTCAAAGTAGTTATGATTGTGACCACATTTCTATAGAAAAATTTAATCGTACTATTATAACTTTTTCATAAAAAGGGCTGTTCAGATAGCAACAAAATTTCCATTGATGTTGATCCGATTCAAACAACTTTTTTACAGATTGTGTCAATATTTCTATAGAAAAAGTTGATAAGATTGTTCAGATAATGACAACATTTCTATAGAAAAAGTTTAAAAATTAAGACAAATTTTCTATAAAAAGAGTTAAACAGATTCTGACACTTTTTTAAAGAAAATCTTGATCCGAATCCTATAAATTTTCTATATAAAAAGTTGAGACAAGGCTATGACAAATTTCTATAGAATAAAATGGTCATATTGCGATAACTTTAATTAAAAACAAGTAGGAAAGTATACTTGGGCATGGCCGACTATATGATAATCTACACCAATGAGCAAGTCTGAAGTTAGTTAGAACACATCTATATAAAATTGGCCATGCGGATTCAGACGAGCACTTTCTTTGTCACTGTCACTCATTCGTCGAAATTAGATCCAAGTATCTTGGAAGTGATGTTATTCCGGATATAACATACCTGACTAACACTGATTGGAAAATTCGTAGGAATTACGTCCAGGAAACTGAGTTTCTGAACATTTAAAAATAATATACTCAATGAACAATTTTTTATACCCTACACCACTTTAGTGGAGAGGGTATATTACGTTTGTGCTGATGATTGTAACGCACAATAATATTGGCCCTACACCCACCTTAAAGTATACCAATCGGCTTAGAATCACTTTCTGATTCGATTAAGTTATGTCCGTCCGTCTGTCTGTCCGTCCATGTAGACCTTGTAATCAAACTACAGGTCGCATTTTTAAAGATAATTCAATGAAAGTTGGTACATGATTTTCTAGTGACGAAGCCCATTGGTTATGATCTAGTGACGAAGCCTATATGATTATGATCGGTCCATTATTTCACCTAGCCCCCATACAACTGAATCCCCGAAAAGGGCTTGTAAACCTTTTATTCAAAGTACAGGTCGCAATTTTGAAGATAATTCAATGAAATTTTGCACATAATCTTCTATTGTAGTAGAGACGAATCCTCGGTCCAATATTTGACCTAACCCCCATACAACTGAACCCTCCGAATAGGGCTTTTAAGTTCATAATTATGTTCAATATACTCGTATCTCGACAAAAAGCTGCAAAACCAAGTTCTATACTAGTCTTCATGACCCTGATGACCGGACGGACATGTCTTAATCGACTCA